ACTTGGGCTCAACCTGGCTCCAGCACTTGCAGATCAGGGGGCTGGAGCTTCAAGATGTGAGGGCTCCCCAGGGCACATGTGGGAAGTGGCAGAGGTTCCGACTCAGGGGGCCCAGGGCTAGAGCATCCTCAAGCATCTCTGATGTGGGTGTTCTGGGATCCACTCTGAAGAGCACCGCCCTCCATCACTCTGCCTCTGGCCAGTGGCTCTGACCCAGAGGTCACAAACTATGAACCCACCTGCTCAACTCAGTCTGGTTTTGTTTATACAGCTTGAGAGCTAAGAATGGTCTTTACATTTTTAAATGGCTGGAAAAAAATCCAAAGAAGAATAATATTTCATGACATTTGAAAATCACATGAAATTCAAATTTCAGTGTCCATGAATAAAGTTTGATGGGAACACAGTCGCACCCATGCGTGTCTGCTTTTGTGCTAGAAGGGCAGAGCTGAGCAGCTGCAACAGGCACCGGCCCACAAAGCCGGAAATGTTCACTCTCTGCCCTTTACAGGAGGAACAGTCGGCAGAGCCTGATCTAGTCCACCCCAACAGCAGGACCCTTCTTTACAGCCTCTCCCTCCCGCCTCTGCCTCACACCTCCAGTGGTGGGGAGCTCACTACCAAACAAGGCAGCCCGGTCATCTTTGAAAGGGGCTGGGCACAGCTCTTTATGCTGGCACTGAGCTCCTTCCCCTGTAACATCATACTGCACCCTTGAGCCTTGTGGAGTCGGCTCTGTTATTCCTCCCCAGTGGCCAGCAGGCTCCTTCTTCCCTCTAGCATCAGTTCTTCCCTGTCCTTGTCTGTCCCCTCAGTTGTTCCTCATCGTCCTCTGGGAAATGGAGGGAAAACGGCAGCACTTCTCCATTACAGACAAGGGGATGGGCGATGGAGAGGGAGCGTGACACAGTCAGGAGCTGAACTGGAGCTGGACCCAGGCCTCCTGCCTCCCAGCCTGCGGTCTCCTCGACAACAGTGCGTGAGTGTCCAGCCTCGTGTCCAGCTCATCACACCCAAAATGGCGCCCAGAAGGCCCGAGGTGTGCTCCCTGGCGTGGCCTTCATGGATCCAAGGACAGTTCTCCCTGACTTTTCCCTTTCTCCCGTCCACCTCAGGGCTCAGCCGTATGCTCTGAGCTCTTCGCCCATTAGACCCAGCTACCCCCACCCCACTACTGGGGGCTGGTCCCCAGGGACCGCCCACATTTACAGTGTGTGCTGTTTGCAGCTTGCTTTCGTGAGTCAGCTGGGTCTCTGGCTCAAAGTGCCTGAGCTGACAGCCAGAAAGGGAAAATGGGATTCTGAGGTTGCCTTTTGACGTCTGTCTACAAGCTGTAGCCAGGAAGATCTGTCCTCGGAGGGTACTGGAAAGGGTTTTGAAATCCTTGGAAGAAGAGAGCTGTGTCAACACCCCCTAGGACTAATTATCTGGGGTCCTTTCTGCCACAGGCTGCTGCACTTGGGAAGCTCTCCTACTAAAAGATAAGGGTGAGTGATCTGGAAGTGCGCACGGACCCATGTGTGCGTTATAACCAGAAAAGCTCGTCTGTGGCTAGAACAGGAACTGTGGATCTTGGAGGGTTGCACTAAGGCGAATTCCAAGTAAGAACCGATCAGCCAGAGGCAATGTGTCGAGGGTGCAGGGGGGACCTGCGCTCCGAACCAGAGAAACCTGGGTCTGGATTCCCACCCTGATTAGCTGTGAAAACCTGGGAAGTGACACCTTCTCGCAGATTTACTTTTGGTAAAATGAGAAAAAATAGCGAAACCTTGCGGGGTCACCATGAAGATTAATGTCTAGGATGCTAGCATGGTGCCCGGCACATGGTATTTGCCCACGAACTATCACTTTCCTTGTCTCCTTTTCTCCCTCCTCTTATGTGCCAGGGGCCATGCCAGGTGCCAAGGGTCTTGATAAATAAGGTACAGTCCCTGCTCTCAAGGAGACACACATGCACAACTACAGGAATGGGACAGTGCTCTCCTAGTGTGACGATGACAGCAAGAGCCGATGTTCCCGCACACTCGCAAGGTGCCGGGCACCCTGCAGGGAGTGTCTCACTTCATCCTCACAGCCACCCTGAGAGGGGGTGCTGTCATTCCACCATTCCATCAGGAGGAGGGGGAGGTCCAGAGCCCAAAGGCAGGCAGTGAGGAAGGCTGCACAGCTGGGCGGGCGCCGGAGAACACAGAATCGATGGTTGGATGGGTAGGGGTCAGGGGCCTCAGGGGGGAGGGGGAGGTGGTGACTGCTTGGGGCTTTGAAGGAAGCACACGGAGCAGCATTCCAGTCAGAGGGCGCAGCAAGCACAAAGGGGAGTGTGTGTGTACTTTGTGAGGGGAGTGACACTCACCCCCGATGAGCACCATTGGAACCCACTGTGCTCAGGGATGCCAACTCCACAGGGCTCTCCTCCCAACAACGGGATGGAGCCGGCAGGCCTGAGAAGAGATTATTTCACTCCTGCAGTTTACAGAAATACAAGCAGCTAATGCGGGGTCATCAGCAATCACAGCCAATCAGCAGGACTTCCGCCTCTTTATCCAAAAGAAAAACAGGGACTAATGAGGGCATTAACACAAATGGCAGCTACCCTTCATTTAATTCTACTTTTACAGCTTCTTCAACTTTGGGTCAAATTTCACTGGTTCTGCGGAGGTCATCTCGCTTCCCTATCAACTCACTGGGGTCTTGGGTGGGGCACAGGCTCCACCTTCCCCTCCCTGGGCCTCAGTGTCCTGTGTAAAAAGAAGGGGATGGGCTGGAACAGAGGTTTTCACTCTGTGGTCTCCAATCCAGTAGCATTAGCATCACCTGGGAATTTGCTAGAAATGCAAATTCTAGGGCCCCACCCAGACCTAAGAGAGCCAGAAGCTCTGGGGGTGGGGTCCAGCCATCTGTGCTTTAACCAGGTTCGAAGGTCCCCAGGGGAAGGCCCCTTCCAGCAGTAACAGGTGGTTTGTGCTCTGAGGTGTTATAATTTAGTAGTATTCTCTCTGGACAGAGTGTTTCTCGCCCAAGACAGGGTAAGAGAAGCTGTCTTCTTTGATCAGCTTTTAAAGCCCAGAGTCCAAGTGAGCTGCTCTAGAAACCCTGAGGAATATGTGGCTGACTTTGAAGGCCAGATTTTTTCTTTTTTTTTTTTTTTAAAGTAGGGAGTCTCAACCTTGGCAGGTGATGAAAGCAGTGGTATCTGTTGTTAGAGAAATAAAGACGAGGGGCCAGCCCAGTGGCACGGTGGTTAAGCTCACACGTTCCGTTTCGGCGGCCTGGGGTTTACCGGTTCGGATCCCAGGTACTGTCAAGTCATGCTCTGGCAGGCGTCCCACATATAAAGTAGAGGAAGATGGGCACGGATGTTAGCTCAGGGTCAGTCTTCCTCAGCAAAAAGAGGAGGAGTGGCAGCAGATGTTAGCTCAGAGCTAATCTTCCTCACACACACACACAAAAAAAGATATACAAGCAGAGAGCTGCTTTCTGTTTTCAGCTCCAAAACAATGACTCACTAGAATGTGTGTGTGTGTGTCTGTGTAGTGCCTTGTGGGGCAGGTCCTGCAATGGTGGTCCTGGGAGGGCAGCTTCCCTTCTCTGGTCCAGGCGCTTCCTGGTGTGTAAATCCTTGCCTGCCACCCCCTCTTGGACAGAGATGATTACCAAACCTCAGAAGAGCCACAAACAGCCACGGTGGTGATTACAACACAGAGCTGGGTCGGCCGACTTTAGCAAGGTTTGGCTTCTAAGACCGTCAGAATGGAAAGGATATCCTGTCTAAAAGATACAATTTTCCCAGTCTGGATTTAAGGCTAAAAAAACCATCAAAAAGATGGAGAGAATTTCACAGCGCTGCCCGTGGGTTCCTCATGCGAGAAGGAGGCGGCACACCCAGCTGTCCCTGGAGAAGGGTTAGCTGTCTGGGCCACGGCCTGCGGGTCCTCCCCGTGTTGCTGGGCAGGAACGCGCACCCATGAGACCGACCCCCCGGCCATTTCCAGGCATTCCCGACCCTCGCTTGGTGGTGTCTCAGAAACAACGATAACAGATACCGCGACTTTCTTTTATGTTGCACTGGCCACGTGCCAGGCACTGTTCTAAGTACCTTACATCTATTAACGCGTTTAATCCTCACAACAACCCCACGGAGGCAGGGACCATTATCATCCCCCAATTACGAGTGAGGAAGCCGCCGCACAGAGAGGTAACATCACAGGACTAGTGCGTCTCCCGTCAGCAGGAGGTGAGCGAGTCAGGAGACGGCGGCTCTCAGTGAGCCGGGCTCTCCCGCCAGCGCGCCTGGCCGAGCCACGGACTGGGAGCGGAGGGAGGCCGCAGCAGGTGGCTCCTCCGATCGCCCAGTCTGCGACCCCAGGCGGAGGGTCTGATGCTGGGAGGCGAGGGCTGCCCGGGCAGGCACGTCCTCAGAGCCGGGTCTCGGAGGCTCGGCAGCCTGGTCAGCGGGCTCCCCAGCGTCCAGCGCGCGCCCGGAGGCAGGGCTGACCCGCCCGCTCCCCGCACGGCGGCCGCGCCGACGCCAAGCCCCGGTCTCCCGGTCCTGAGAGACGGACGTTCAGCCCCGCTCAGGTAGCCGTGTCCGGGGAGCCTGGCGAGCAGGAAGGAGACGGCAAGAGCCCAGGCGGCGCGCCCCTGGCCGGGAGAGCGAGGCGAGAAGCAGAGAAGGAGCACAGGGACTGCAGCACCCCGCAGACCCTTCAACCCCCCAACTTTCTCCCTGGATTCGGGACCCCAGCAGCCGCACATTGGCTGAGCCGCGGCCTCCCGGGCCCGCCCTTCCTCTTTACCTATTGGCTGACGTAAGCATCCATCACAAGCCGAGGCTTCCTAATGGACCGCGGCGTTTGTCAATCAAGGTGGGCGGGAGACTGGGCGGGTCCCGGCCCGGGGGAGACACGCCGGCCTCATTGCCCTCTCTGCCTCCCTCCGGTGTGGGACTGGGGACCTGGAGGCGCCCCGCGGCGGGGCTGGGCGGGACCCCGGAGACTCACCGATGCGCTGTCCCACCGGAGAGCTGAACGGGTTCCCCAGGAGAAAGTCCATCGCCACGGCTGCCGCTGCCACCAACCGGGGAATCAGCTGACAGCAACCGCCAGCGCCGCCGACCCGTCACGTGACGCGCCGGACGGCCCGCGAGGAGGCGCCCGAGGGGGCGGGGCAAGAGAGTCTGGAGCGTGGCCTCAGGCCCCGCCCCTAACGCGAGGGGTTGGGCTTCCCGAGGCGGAGGGCGATGACGTCACTGCGGCTTACTCGGCGTCGGGGGGGGTCACGTACCACGTAGGGCGGTGGCGGGCCTGGGGGCGGGAACCTCCCTAAGCCACGCCCTCGACGTTTATTTAAGAATTTAGGGGCGTGGCCAAGCGATCTTCGTGTGCATCTGGAAAACTGGGTCTCAGCAGGGAAGTGACTTGGGTGAGGTTACACGGCAAGCTCAGAGGACAGCTCTCGCTCAGTGCCTTAGCCCTTCGGACCTCACTGTGACCACACACCCACCGCGGGGGTCGACAGCCTCCGTGGCCTGTTGTCTCCCTGCCCTGATAGAACTCTTCCTATGTGATGTCGAGGTCTCCCTGAGGCAGGATGCGCCCTGCTTGCAGCCCAGATTCGCTTACCTCCAATTGGAGGCCAGGGCCCGGGGTTTGCGATCCCTTGCCACTGAGAGGCAACCCCGTGAATTATGGCTAGGGACGGACTAGAGCCCAGGGTGGCGGCCAGCACACCGCTGTAGTCACTGCTGGGGCCTGGGACCCATCTCTGCTGGAATTAGATCAAGGACTCAAAAGAACTTTCTTTTTTTAGGTAACAGTCTCCTCTGAGAATGTGAAGAAAGCCGTGAGCCTTTGTGAAGATAAAAGTCAGAGATACAAAAACTTCGGGGAATTTCTGGGTCCCTGATGTACAGCAGTGGACCCTAAGTGAAGAACTGAGAATCTCAACGGCCTTTCCCAGCTTTGTAATTCTAATATCTTCTTCAGCCTTGCTGTGTACCATGTTTCAGATACGTCGCCTACACATTAGATATCTGATCTATTGGCTATGTTTTTTTCTTCTAATGACATGCATTCCAAAAGATGTGATGACCACTGCTTTGGTAGTTTGGGTTATTGCAGACTGCGTTAGTATTCACTGATCATGATGCTTGTGACTTTTAAATTTGGAAGGCTAGTAAACTGGCTCTGCACAAAATTAGGATGGAAAACGTACATTAGAACTTAATCACTTCTGTATGTTAACCTGTTTGAGCAGCATAGGGGCTGACAACCTTACTGAACAATATAAAACTTTATGGAAATCATGCACTCCTGTGCTTTTGTTTTAGTAATGTTCATGAGACCTATTAATAAGTGCCTTCTGGGGCAGCCCCCTGGCCTAGTGGTTAAGTTCGGTGCGCTCTGCTTCAGCGGCCTGGGTTTGGTTCCCAGATGTGAACCTGCACCACTCATTGGTGGCCAGGCTGTGGTGGTGACCCACATACAAAATAGAAAAAGATTGGCACAGATGGTAGCTCAAGGCAAATCTTCCTCAAGCGGGGTGGAGGGGGGCAACAGGAAGACTGGCAACAGATGTTAGCTCATGGTGAATCTTCCACGACCCCCTCCCCACCCCTTAAAAAAAAAGCCTTCCCTCACTAGTCTGGATGCTCCATGAGGGCTGGGATACCATGCCTGTTTTGCTCACCACTGTCGTCTAGCACAGTGGCTAACATAAAACTTTAAATCAATCTACCTTTCAGTAATGGTATTTGGACTATAAAGGGGGTCGTATATTTAAGATGACTTTCATGTAAGGTACCCTCCATGTTTTTCTTCATTTAAGCATCTTGCTTGGTTGTATGGAGTATATTTAGCATGAATTTCTTTTGGATTCTTCCACTGACAATCTTTAACCTCCTCATGCTGGGTGGTGATTTACCAGAAGTTCTTGCCTTCCTACATCACTGTGGTTTAAAGTGATTATGGGCAGAAGATCTTGGCTTTACTGCCAAGAATAAGACAGCCATAAGTTTTATCCTTCAGGGTAAAAAAGCAGAAACAACCCACATATCCCCAACCAGGGAGCGCAGCCATATTAACTCCATACAAACAATATTATATAACTATTCAATTAGAAATGGAAGAGTGGGGATTTTGTCAACATGATAGGAATGTAAATGGCAAATATTAAGTGTAGTACAAAACTGATTAAAACTATGTTTTAAAAGTGTTTGCAAACAAGGAACAAGCTCATTTAGTAAAAAGTCTGTCTTAATTTAATTTTTCCATTTAAGTGTTTTAGCAATATTAATATCAAATGTCTTCCCGAGGGTAAAAATGTTTAAGTCCCTTAAGATTGACATATTGCATAAATGCAATGTAATCTATTATATCCTTAAAGTAGTTTTAGACAAAAATTAAGATACTTTGCCTCCAAAGTTTAAAGACACTAGGATGAGAAGAAAAATGAGGCCTGTATCATAAAACCCAGCTAGGACAGGACAGTTTAACAAGGAAAAGGTCTCAGATTGTCTCCCTACAATCAGGTTTGCTCAGGACTGTAGTGAATGGAGGATTCTGATGAGCACACAAGATTTAACTTTACAATGGCTGAGGGTAGGAGAGGCCTAGGCTTTGGGGTCAGCTGTCCCAGTGTGCTTATTCTGGTTTTCCCATTGACTAGCTGTCTAAAATTCGGAAAAGTACTTCTCCGCCTCGGCCTCCTCATTTGTAAAGGGGGATAATACTCATAAGGCTTCTGGGGAGATAAAGTGAGGTGAAATATGCACGTCACTCTATAATAGTCGTTCAGTAACATGGTGGTCTCTTTCTTGCTGCCTCTCCATAAGAAGTTCCCCTTTCAATCAATCATAAAGAGTCTCACTATTTATGAATATTAACATACTGTGTTTGCATTGAATTTTTTACCTTGAAAGGTCAAATCTCCCTATATGAAATGTTCACAATACTATTAAATACTCAGCCAGACTGGCGGGCTGCGGGCTTGAAGACAGGGAAGCGACATCAACACGATTTTACAAATGGGACTTTGGATGCCTACAAAGATTAAGTGACTTAACCAACGTCATTCACTGAGTCAGGACGGTACTGAAACAGCATGAAATATGTCACATTTAAGCACATGATTCAGATGCAACCCTTGTATGAGACTGACAGACATTTTCTGGAGTTAGGCCAACACTGTAATGTACATACAATTTCATCTGCCAGAGAATAGAGCCATATTTATCAGAGCCACTGGGTTTACAATTTGCAGAAGAGAGACTCCACAACGCACAAGTTAATAGAAACAGAGTAAGATGTGTATTAGGAAAACGGCTAAGATCAGAAACTTGCTCTCTATTCCAGATGGATTTTTCTTTTTGAGAAAATTATGGTAGGATATAGTGTGAACAGACAGGTTTTATAATTTCACAGCATCTTTGGTTAGCAGCAGGGAAAAGATAGCTGAGACTGGACTACAAATATTAAAAATGTGATTTTTAATAATATAAGTACAAAATTTTATTTCTTTATACAACTGTAATGGGATTTGGATCAAACTGCTAGAATTTATTTAAAAAACAAAATAAAACAATGATATAAAAACTGCAAGAAGGTCTGAATCCAAAGTTTTTCCTCTAATAGTACCAAATACCACAAGATACAGATTATTATACAAATGTGTACAAACCTTAAATACAAATACAATAGGGTTTGATTTTAAAGGAAAACAAACAAAAAGCAGGTCCTCGTCGGGATTTCATTAATGTGTACAAATGACAAGGGTAGGACTGACTTCCTTCTGTACTAATCCATGTCTTCAAGGCCCCTCCTTGATGCCTGTGTCAAACAGGAAACTTCCATGGGTACAGATGAGGGGTGGTACAGGTTCTAACACGAAATCAGACCAAGATTTCTGCTCTTCTTGGTTTTGGTTCCCAAACATTCCTGTTTCTTTCTGTTTCCCCAATTAAATCTCAAACTGCTCTGAGCTGAGAAAGGCATTCATTCAGCAGTCAGAATACATTTAAGAAACACAGCCCCGTGATCACACTGGTGGGGAGCGGGAAGGAATTAAACAGGAGGCAGGCTGGCCGCACTGTCCTCAGGGATCTACTTTGATGCGCAGTGGTGTCTAGGCCAGGGGAAGAAGGTGGTTGGCCCAGGGCTTGGTTCAGGCAGGGCATCTCACAGCAAATTTACAAACAAGCCTGAAGTCTTCTTCGGAACTGGGAAGCAAAAGTCTGGTTCTTTGGAAATAAGGGCGACTGGGAATGGTAGCATTCCTTTTTATTTTACTTTCTTGACATTATTGAATTATAAAGATTTAGAATCCTGACATAATGATTCCTTTTTGAGGCACGATACCTTAAAATGTAGATGATTTGGAGTTTTCAGAGGAGACCAGAGGAGGCAAGGAAAGAAGGAAGGAATGACAAATCTGTATCTTCCACACGCTGTTGCTGGTGGAGGCTTTTGTTATTAAATTATATATACAGAAATTTACAGGATAAATTAAAATCTAAGAGATTTTAAAGAGTTAAATACACATAATTAAAACACACATTCACACGCGCACATAAATAAACTTACATGAGAATTGAGTACTTTTTTGCAATTCACTTATGTGTGGAATGCAGAACACTGTGTATTTGCCCACCAAGAGAGCCAAAAAGATGAACCCAAGAATCAACCGGGCAAAGTTCATCTTCCACAACACCAAGCAGCTAAGCAGCAGAAGCTGCGAGGGCTCGGTGGCTAACTAGCACTGCCCATGGAAGACACCAGCTCTCAGCACTGCAGAGCCGATACTCTAGGTCAGCTCACCAGAGACGCAGTTCAGCTGGTGGCACTGACAGCTTTACCTCTCCAAGGTGTTTACGCTGCCAGGGCTCACGTAACTCCTTGGCCCCTACTGAGGCCGCCAATGGTACCAATGATTACAATAAATTTTGAGACATGGACACCTGTATAGCAGGAATTGGAATGAACCCCCTATTAAGTTCACCGAAGCCATTGCACTAACTGTAAGATGGGAACGATTCTGTCACTTCCCACCTAGGTCACTTCAAGTTCAAAGGCTTTGTACTTTCAGTCAACTGGCCATCTTCCCATAATCTTTCCTATTACATTTCAGACTGTAAGACAGGTAAGGCAAATGGTCAGTGATGGGTCTGGAGGTACAACTGAGTTTGGAAAAAAATTACATTTTAGCTGTCCTAAAGAGATGCCCTTGGCACCCAGAACAAGCCTCCAGCCCCCAAGTTACACTGATTTTTAAGGCAGATTTATCCACCACAGGAGAAAAGAGAATCCCAAGCCCATATTCATGCCAAGGTTTCCTCTTGGCTAAACCTTTGCCATTTCATAAAATTATTAAAAGCAAAGTAGTTACAGTCCTATGTATATATTATACATTATATATATATATATATATATGTATATATATAAAAATTTAAAACCTACACCCAGAGGCCAGTGAAGGATCTGGAACAGTCATATATATATATACACGAACCAGCAATGGGTCAGTAAGTTTTCTATCCCATGATTCTTTGCTGTCACAGTCCAGGCATGATGTAAGCAATGTTGTCTAATGTGTTTGACTGCAAAACAAGGGAAAAAGGTTCAATTGAAGAGTACTTTACCTTAGTTCTTTGAGACATATTTCTTTACTCAGGGCAGAGAGATGAGAAAGAAAAAACCAGAGTTAGAGCAAAGGGGGCAGAATGTAGATGGCATCCTGCTGTCCGTTATGCCAGGAGCTTCTCTACTGACCTCCCCCATTAATCCTAGCAGCAAAGAGGTGGAGGCCCCTGCGCTCTCTGTATGGAGGAGCAGACAGGAACACAGGAGGCCTCGCAGCCCTCAAGGACAGCCACGCTCCTCTTCAAAGGACTGTTCTGGGACATGGCACGTTTTCTAGTTTCACCGAAAGCACGGCATGCATTCGACAATACAGTATCACGTTGCACGGGCCGATGTATGCAGGGAGCACTACACGCCAGGAAGCCTTATGCGCTTCTGCCTGATAGAGTTCATTAAGGCAGAGTCTCTCTGGCTCCCAAGGGGTTTGGCCCAAAAAATCCAAGGAAAACTCACCAAGACTTGTTTGGGACAGCCATTCAATTCAGGTAGTTGTGTGGTCAGACACGCCAAGGGGCCAAGCGCACAGATAATGGAATCCAGAAGCACGGACAAACTGCCCGACACAGCCACCATGCCCTGAAAGGGAGAGTGGGAAAGGAGGGAACCTGTCAGTGGAATCATACTCTCGCGCTCTCTCTGCGGGCTGGCTGATTTCCTCACGGGGCTCTTTAAGTCTTAGGCAGCTCTACGAAACTCGCAGCAAAAATGGAAGGTATCTGCTTTGATAACCCTGTAAGCTGTTTAAAGAGAAAACTTCTTACAATACATTCCCAGGTCTCCTTTCTATCTTCCTAAGCCATCTTTCCCTCTATGAGACCTCGGGTTAGTCCCTTAGGACTAGTATGAAAAGGCCCAGACTTAGGAACAGTAGAAAATGCCTTAACGACTCCAGGGAGCTGCTGGGAGGCTTTGTGGAGATCGCATATGCAAAAGCAGTTTTCTTATGAAGTCCACAAACGCAGCTCAAATGTGCTAACTACGAGAACTCCACAGCCCTATACATTACCATTCCATATAAACATACACATACTTCTCCATATATCTCCATATAGGTGGCTTTTGATAGCTGATATCACTTTTCTGGGTTCACTCTCAAAAAGAAGTGAATTTGGTTCATTTCAAATTTTAATATCTTGTACAATTCATATTGTCTCTATCTCTGTGACTCAAAGCCATAAGAAATGAGATTGCTTGCTGCAAATGCTGCTGCCCGGCTCTCGTATAATCTGCTTCCACCAGGAGCAGTGTGCGAATGCATCACCTAGGGAGGCAGCGGAGCGCGTGGTGCAGAGAATGAGCTCCGGGCTCTCTGCCGGGTCCAGAACCCGACTCTCCCACTCACTGTTTTTCTACTGGGCCAGCTGCTTACTATGCTGTGCCTGTCAAACAGAGCACTAATAGCATCTGTGGCACGTAGGGGATTAAGTGAGATAATAGATATAAAGTGCAGTCATGCGTCACCTAACAGCGGGGATATGCTCTGAGAAATTCGTTGTTAGGCCCTTTCAGTGTTGTGCGAATATCAGGGTGTATTTACACGAATCTCGATGGTGTAGCCTACCACACACCTAGGCTAAATGGTACAAGCCTATGGGACCACAGTTGTACATGCAGTCTGCTGTTGACCAAAATGTCATTACACAGTGCATGACTGTACTCGGGATGGTGCCTGGTACATGGTAAGTGCTCACAAAGCATCAGTAATTGTTACCCTTATCGCCAGCATCTGCATCTCCGAAACTGCATTTCCGGCTGCCTGCTAGGTCTCTCCCTTTGGCCGTTTCTCAATCTCAACACGCTGGAATGAGAAATACCCTCCCCCTCCTCCTAGTGCTCCTTTCTCTGCTAAAGTCACCACCATTCCCACAACTGCCCAGTCTCCAGGCCTTGCCATGGTTGACTCTTCCTCCCCTCATCCTCCTCGTCCAATGTCTGCCCCTGTTCCCTTTCAAGGGAAGCAGTACGGCTAGGGCTTAAGAGCATGGACCTTGAGCTCACACCACCACATTCAAGCCTCTGTTTCGGCACTTAGGGGCTGAACCCCAGAGCAAATTACTTAACCTCTCTAAGTCTGTTTTTCCTTCTATAAAACAGAGGGAACAAAAACTCTGCCTTACAAAGGCTGCAGTGTGAATTAAATGAAATCCGTATGAAGCACTCTGAACCAAAGCTGCCTGAGTAAGCACTGAATGAAAGTTAGCAATTAATGATGTCATTTCATTGCTTTTGCCCTACAGTTAATAATAGCTAATATTTTATGTCTCACTCTCCTAATGGATTACAAAAACTTGAAGGCAGGAACTATGTTCTATTCCTTGTGTGTCTGGTTTTTTTTTTTTTTTTTTTGGTGAGGAAGATTGGCCGTGAGCTAACATCTGTTGTCAACCTTCCTCTTTTTGCTTGAGGAAGACTGTCACTGAGCTAACATCTGTGCCAATCTTCCTCTATTTTGTATGTGGGTCGCCACCAGAACGTGGCTTGAGGAGCAGTGTGTAGGTCTATGCCTGGGATCCAAACCCGCAAACCCCGGGCCACTGATGCAAAGTGTGCAGACTTAACCACTATGCCACTGGGCCAGCCCATCTATTCCTTTTTATATCCTCCCAGTAACTACTGGTGGAGCCCTCAATAAACATCCGTTGAATTAATTCAAATCTTTGTCATATCTAGACTATTGTTATAACTTCTTCCCAATTCTGGTCTCTTTTCACTCCCAATCTAAAATAGAAGCTATTCTCAGAGAAAACCAAATGAGCCTTCTGATCACATCCCTCCCTACTCAAAAAACCCCTGCAGTTCCTGAGCAGCAAAGCACAGCAGGACACTTCAGAACGCCCAGGAAGGTGCCCTGTGACTTGGGCTACAGCTTTAACATTCAGCTTGCCTCTGCCTTATGCACTGGATGTGCCAGTGTTTCATCACATTAGCAGTAAAACCCCAGTTCAAATAAAACTGAACCCCAGAACACCAATATATAAAAGAGGTAAAAGATCTGGTTCAAGTGGGCATGGGGGTCTAGAGCCCCGCTAAGTCTCCTTCCCCCATCTCTGCAGCAGACCCCGAGGAGAAAGAGATGTAGCTGGTTCCTTCGTTTGGAACGTCTCTCCAACATCTCCACGAGACAGTCGTCCCGACCCTTTCCGGTCCAGCTGGAATACCACCTTCCTTTCACACAGCTCCTCCCAACTCCCCCTGGCTCTCTGTTCTCTCATGCTATTCTACCTGCTTTAGCTCGCACGGGACAGCAGCATGAGAACAGGGCAAGAAGTGAGGCAAGCTGGGCTCTGTCACAAACAGTTGTGTAAACCTCCAACAGTCAGTGAATTTCATGAGGCTTCAGGTATTCAATCTTTCAATGCGTGAATTGTATAAATCAAAGTTCCTTAAAGTAGAAAATGTGATTTCAGGTGGCATATAGGTGAACACCAATTATTTTGATATACATCCATTTTGATGTATATTAGAAAAAAGTTAGAATATCACAAGTGATATCGAGGATATCATTGGATAGATTCATTGAAATAAAAATATTAAGTAAATAATAGTGTAAGTCGTAGGTGGAAATTGCGAAAGTGTGAGGATACATGCAAATGACTTAAGGCTGGGGAAAAGCGGAGAGGAGGGGGAATGAGGAATGACTGCTAATGAGTATGGGGTTTCTTTCGGGGGAGATGAAGGTGTTCTGGAATTAGCAGTAATGGGTCCACAAGTCTGCGAATATACTAAACCCCACTAAATTCCACATTTTAAAAGGGTGAGCTTTATGGCATGTGTATAACATCTCAAAAAGACTGTTACATAAACAAAAAACTGGACTAGAGATCCTGCAAAATTCTTCCCCTTTTCTGGTCACTACATCTGTGTAACTCTCTCACAGCAACTGCTCAAAGGAACTGGCTTGTTTTAATTTGCTAATTATGTATTTATTCTATCTTTCCAATTAGACTGTAAGTTTCTTGATGACAGGAAATCATCAGGGAGCTCCTCAGATTTTCTGCTCCCCCAAGTTTTTGGAATAATGCCTAGATACTCAACAATATTTGCTAAAGGAAATGGAAATATGAGGGAAAATCTGGAATATGCAAGATGAGAACATTAATTTTTAATTCTTTCTAGGAAATATAAGAATGTCTAAATATGAAAAATAAATAAAGATTCCAGAATATTTTATTCTGGAAATATCTATATCCATTCAAATAGCTGAGCCTACATAAAAGTACTCTAGCTGTTTTGACACCTGCTAAATTTTTAGAAACTAGCCAAACTAGCCAAAGAACTCAGATATAGCTTCAGCTCTTGTGGCCTTTGGCATTTTACTTGTTGAATAATAATTCAACTCCCACATAGAAGCAAGTGGATAGTTCTATATTTCTACAGTGATTTCTTAGCTTAAAAATGGCTTTAGTAGCTCAGACTGACTTTTTTGCTGAAATGTCCTATCAGGACCCAGTGGAAAACTAAAATACTATACCACTGAGTTAGCCAAGGGGATAATATGATTAGAAATTGAATATGGTAACAGAAATGGAACATGACAGCCTTGCAGGTTAAGTGGTTTTGAAATTGAAGCTTAAAAGGACAAAGATCTCCCCAGGGCACAGAGCACTGTGAAATTCAAGTGCTGAATAATGAGGGGCTGGAGAACCTCCATTTCCCTTTTTTGCTACCTATTTTCAAAAAAGTAGGAGGACCCCACACAGTGTAATCTGTCTATTCAAAACCTTACTGGAAATGCACAAAAAAACTCAAACTCTCTTACAAGCATGAGTGATCAAAACTTTCATGGGATCTGTACTCATTTTTTCCATTGCATTTTCTCTCTCTCTTTTTCTGTTTTGGGTGAGAAAGATTAACCCTGAGCTAACATCTGTTGCCAATCCTCCCCTTTTTCCTGAGGAAGATTGGCCGTGAACTAACATCCGTGCCCATCTTCCTCTATTTTATACGTGGGACGCCTGCCACAGCGTGGCTTGATGAGCAGTGCGTGCATCTGCGCCTGGGATCCGAACCTGCAAGCCCAGAGCCACTGAAGTGGAGCGTGTGAACTTAACTGCTATGCCACCAGGCTGGCCCCTCCACTGCATTTTTAAAAAAATAAAAATAAGTAACAGGGTCATATGTCAATTATATCTCAATAAAACTGGGGGAAAAAAGTTATAAGGCATTCTAATTTCTTTTTGTGCAGTTGTTTCAACAGGATGGTATTAATGTAAACTTTGAGAGCTAGTAGACAGATTCCAAATTTCTGAATGCTTCTATTACCACGTGTCCTTTATCACTGCGTCCTGAACACCTGGCATAATCTAGCATACAGTAGCTGCTCAATGAATATATGTGGGATGAGTGAACAGAGTCAAACGCTATCAGCAGCTGGAGTCATGGTGCTGACAGTTGTGCTCACCTCAGTTTCCTGCAGGCGGTGTCCAATGAGGCTTAGCGACTCTCCCAACAGCTGCAGATGAGCAGCAACATCAATGGGCTCTGTCTCAGGCGATTTGGCTGGCGAGGCTGGTAACAGCATGGTGGTGGGCGGGGACTTCTTTTGGGGTGACAGTACTCCTGCAGAGGAAGCTGTGAACAAAGACAAAATAGAGAGATAAAGCTTGCTTATGGCCTTGAACACCACAAAACTGTCCTTCCTGAGTTTCCTTTAATGAGCTATACCCGGGATTAGCAAATCTATGGACTGTGGGCCAAATGTGACCTGTTTTTATATGGCCTGCGAGCTAAGAATAGTTTTACATCTTTAAATGGTTGTAGAAGAAACAAGGAAGAATATATGACAGAAAATGCACGTGGCCTGCAAGGCCTAGGTATTTACTCTCCGGCCATTTACAGAAAAATTTTGCTAACTTCTGATTTATGCTTTCCAGATTTTTTTTTGCAACCTATAATATTCAGTAGTAATAGTTGGATATCGATCTGCTCCTAACATAGGCTGCTCTTCCAGTTTCCTAGCAAGGAAGCAAAAATGAACAGTGCTCTAGGGGAAAGAATCCAAAGCAGGAGAGGGATGTGCTCATCACCTTTCACTTTCACGGCCCCTTCTGAGCTGGAGGCTTTTCTCTTCACTGTGGTAGCTTCTGCTTTGTTCTGTTTGTGTTGCAGATACTGAGCTTTCTGCTTCCAAATCTGCAATCAGATCAGAGCAAAATAAAATAAAATAAAAAGGCCACAAAAGGGAAAGCAGTCACGAAGAGGAGAATGAAGAAAGGGCACCGTGGAGGGGCAGGCAGAGGGCTAATGCTAACTTTCAAGCTGAGGGTCAGTGAACAGGCCTCAGACGGGGGTTACAGCCGGATCTCAGTGAGGCCCACAAATATTCCAGCAGTGCTAACGGTCAGACCTCAGCACTGATTTGTAGATCACTCTACAGTTGAAATGTAAAATCATGGAGTAAACACCTGGCTCAGTATAATGTCCATGCGGTTTAAATATTTATTCTAATGTGCTGGTGGGCAATACCAATAGCAGGATAACACTGACACAGAAAACAGAAACTAAAGATAATCTACCTGAGTGGAAAATATTTTAGTTATTTCACCCAGAAGAGCTGTGCCTTAAAGCAAGATGGTAATTATAATTCCTAGACCACATTCATACCACCCAATTGGAAAGCGACTATAAGTGATTCAGACATGACTATTTATCATTGTCTTCTTAGCTTCCTGACAGTAGGGTACACTCCTTGGTAGTGGTTGATGAGGATGCTGACCTGGAACCTGGTTACCTAGTACACGTAGTCTCATGTTTTTATTATTTGCAGTGACTACGAAGTGGATGACTTCCATCAGTTCACAGACCAAGGCTGATGAGGAGGTGTTTGCAGCAAAGGGCTCTGACTTCAGATTCTCCGTTAACACTTTAATCACCGCCCAAGTTAGGTCATCTTGGCTCAAATGTAATGTTGTTGCAAAAAAACTAGATGAGGTTAGAAACACAGCCTCTTGCAGCTAAATCCTCATCTAGAGTAAACTGACACCAACCAGTGTTAACGCCCTCTGTTAAACCACTTCCCACTGATTTGTAATTTTTTTCCACTGTTTTCAGTGTTTGCCTGGGTGGTTTATAGGAAAACTGCACATTTTATAAGCAATGAAAAATGTGTTTGTAAGAAAGTATACTTACTAGTTTGTCCTTTTCTGGCAATTGCTTCCACACCTCAGCCAGTTTTTTACTAAGTTCCCCAAAATCTGGCATAAAAAGAGTAAAAAATCCAATACAGTAAAGGTTTAACTATCAACAAAACAGAAGATTGATGAGAGCAAAAACTGGAAAAACGGTTTTGAAAATCAGATTTAGATAGCACAAGGTTCTTCCAGCAAACCAAGCCCCATCACTCTTCCGGGTTCTTCTGTAGGGGAGGGGCTGTTCTGGTGGTCAGGGGACAGGCACCAATTCTCACACATCTACTCGCCAGGGATTTCTTGCTTCAGCATCATTCTGCTGTCTTTGAATTTGGTCCCACGATAGGGCTCATCAACTCAGGTTAAAGACAATACGTTACGGAAAGTTTGATGAAAGTTGTTAGATTTTTACCGAATTTCTGAGACCTCAGAACCAAAGACAGATTTCCCTAGTGCAACTCAGAAGCCGCTCCCCAGAGTGTAACGCTGCCCTCCCATTTGTAAAGCAAGGACAGGCTTTACAGAGCACGCCCATGTCTTCCGTGGTACTTCCCGTGTGCCTCACACCCGCCGCGAGGAGAAGTTCAGGAAGCTGTTCTCCACCTCAGGAAAGGCGGTCTGCAGAGTTCAGTGCTTGTCCAAGGTCTGTGGACCCTCACTGACGTCTCAGATAGAGACAAATATGAACACAAGTCATCTCACTACAGCTCCACACCCAGGCGCAGTTTACGGAAAAGGTCCACTATGGGGTCTTGAGAATAAACAGCCGCATATGTATGTACTGTGCTTTGTAACATGTACTTTTCCTGTTTCCCACTTTACCAATTTAAGAGATATAAATAAAAAGCATATCTCTTTTATGGATGGGGTGAACTAAGACAAAATCTAAAGTGATTTGAAGAAGCAAGGAAAGAAATTAGGTTTGTGTTCCTTTAATACTACGGGAAGAAGTTGCCTGCTGACTGGATTAACTGCACTGCTTCAGAGATACAAACAGAAAGTAAAAACACTAGAGATCAGAAATGTTCTTACCGATACCCGGATGGTCAGCCACAATGGTCACACGATACTCTTTACAGAACACCTGGTAGGCCGACATGTTCTTCTTTTTTGGCTAGTGCCACATAAAAATAGAACAGGGTAAGACTTAATTAGAACACAAGTTGAGTAACCCTGAACCTATGGTAAGAAAATAGAAAAGGCTTCTATACTTTTTCATCAAGGAGAGAGTTCTAAACTACTAACTAGTTTCCCTAAACAGGATAATTAATTTTTAATCCATTGTACTTATCACTCAGAGATGTATATTTTATCAGTTTTACTTTTAGAACGTAAAATCCACATGCTCAATTATGTTTATATGTTTCAGGGTGTTCCAGCTACATGATAATTATTTGTAAAACTCTTCATTTTTCCTACATACAATCCCATGTTATATATTCTTTCAGAACAAGGTGATAAGAAAATCTTAACCTCTCCTGGGATGTCATTTTCCTCATCTTTGAAGAGAACCACATAACTTCCCTTTAAACTTGGGGCAGAAAGCCAGAGTCAAATCTATGTTCTTTTTGTTCCTCTGGTTTTGATTTCTAATCTTCTAATTTCCCTGATCCTGCTTTTACTGTCACTTGTAGCTTATCATTATTTTATTATTCCCAATCTCGTGGTCCAAGGTGAGAAGTAAATAAATAACTGAAGACAATTCTTTGGTAGTCAGCGTGAGGTGAACCTCTTCCACTCCAACAAACTGCTTTGTACTACTTGAAGCACGTTATTCTTCACTGTGTTATAACAATTCTAAAAGCAATGCACGATTCTTGAGAAGCAAAATCAAATATGCTTTTAAAGCCAGTTCAATGAGGGATATAAAAACCAAAAGACTATTACTATGCATTCCACATTACAACTATCCATAGACTGGGGAAAAAAGTTAAGTATGTCTACCTGAAAAGATGCATTAGCTATAACATCCGTCCAAACTTCTCATTTTGAGGATGGTGAAAAGGAAACTCAGAACAGTGACTTGCTTGGGTCCGACAACTAAGCGAGTTCTAACACCAGAATGACTACAACCCAGGCCTGACTTCCAGGGGCATGTGTTATGGGCCAAAGAAGGAAGATATGTTGCTTCCTTACAGAAAAAGTTACTATTTAAAAAGAAAAGATTATCCCTTTATAATCTTTTTCCAATAAACTGAGACGTTTTCAGTATGGCTTTCCTTTAAAACATCCTCTGTAAGTGTCATAATATGAATGATCAGCTCTCCATCCCCTCCAAGACAGTCCTTTCTGCCCCACGGTAATTTAATGACAGAAATGTCTGGGGCTCCAAAAGCTACTGGGAACTTCTGTTTGCTTCAAGAGTCAGATTTTATGACCAAAAACAACCCAACAAACAACACAGTTGTGTCTCAAGACGTCAGAGCTGCATCTCGTTTTAAACTAAGCCTGATCAAACACTTCGTTCACCTGACAGTTCTTAATATAGCTTTCATAAAATAACTACTCTCACAGGCCAAAGACTGGCTGAGACTCATGGCAATAACAAAACTTGTTTAGAATTCCTTTTGCAATTTTGAGGAATGGAAACATTCCTGGAACACCTTCCAAAGGAACTGCTTTGAATGAGAGAGCTCTTCTTCAGATATAAAAATTGCAGTATGTTTGTTATAAATTTAGCTTCAAAATTTTAAACTAATCTTTTAAAACAGCTTATCCATAGGCCTGACATTTACTAGAGTATATGGTGAAAGAACAATTTGTGGAAGTCTGTGCAGAGCCAAATCTTTCTCAAGTATAGAATCAATCTCACTGCTAAATATTGAGAACATTAGAAAGACTGTGTGCTTGAGGGATTTCCCAGCTCCTTTGGCCATATTATAAAACGTACAAGGAGTCTGAACAACGTTTTCTCAAACATGAGATAATACTGTAAAAGGTTAATGCACCCTATTCCACGAGGCTATCTATAGCTGTCACACCAAATCAAAACTGCCTTTATGAAATGAATCACAGCTCTTGGCCAATATACCAGATCCAAATCCACACACTGAAGCAAGGGGTTCCTCTTATAAAGGACTTTATTCATGCTTGTAGAAAATAAACTAGCAATCATGGAGTACATGGAGCAGGCATAGCGAGTAGCTAAGAGAATGCGCTCAAAGCCCAGATCTTATGCTAAGGCAATTATGCAGCACAAAATAGTGGAAAGCATACAAAATTTAAAGCTTAAAGACCCATCATCCTTTCCCAGCTTCATCTTATACTAATTATTTGATCCTGAATAAAACATGTGAGAAGTGGATAGCTCTTCTGATATGTGATATTAAAAGTATTTCAATGGCAAAGAAGGAGAAGCAGAGAATAAAAATGAAAGGTTTCAAAGGCAACACAAAAAAGTAACCTATCAAAGCACTCTGCCATTTATTTATTAATAAATATTTATTAGAGTGTCCACTTCAAGCCAGACATTGGGACACAGCCAAAATCAGTCAGTCTGACAGACAGGACAGAGTAATACGTCATCACAATGAAATGTGCTAATACTATAGGCAAAGTATTGGACGCCACAAGAAGACGTAATAGGAGCACCTCACCTAATTAGAGTCAGAGAAAGGCTCTGGAGGAAGTGACATTTAATCCAGACCTGAAAGCTGGGCAGAATTAGCCAGATGAAGAGTGGTCAGGAGTGTTCTTGGCAGAGGAAACAACACGTGGTAACACTCATCAAAGAGAGGGGAGAGATCATGTTAGAGAAGCAGGCAGAGCCCAGACTGACGCTTCGTAACCTCTAATAACCAGCATGGACCCTACGGGAAAGAAGTGATTCAAGTACTCTAAGCAGGATGTTACACGGTCAGGTTCCCTTTGGGACTGTGGAGAAGGGACTGGCGAAGAAGACCAATCAGGGGCCACAGCAGTGCAGGCACAGATGAGGACGGCCAACAGCCATGGGGGGGGGGGGGCGGGGGCTGGAGAGAAGCAAATAAATGGGAAAGGAGGGGAAGTGACAGCATTTAACAGAGAAAGTGTGACAAAATGGAAAGAGCCTCCCTGGGCTTAGGAGGCCAACAGATCTAGGTGAGAATCCTGACCATACCATTTGCTAGTTACACGATTATTCATCTCCGAGCTCTAGTTTCCCTGTAACACTTGGATAACACCATTTTACTCAAAGGTGGGAATTAATCCAACAGTGTTCAGCATTTCAGTAGGTACTCAATAATAATATTTCTGTGGTGGGCAGAATTCCAAGACAGCTTCCAAGATTTCTGGCCCCTGGTTTACAAGCCCTTTCTAATTCCCTCCCCTTGAGTGTGAATATGATGGGCTAGAACTCCCATGAGTAGGCTATGCTATGTGGCAAAACGGATTTTGCAGATGTAATTAAGGTCCCCAGTGAGTTGAATCTGAGTTAATCAAAAAGGAGACTACCCTGAATAGGCCTGGCTTTATCAGGTGAGCCCTTAAAAGAGACAAGATGCAACAGCAGACACTCTCCTCCTGACCTTGAACTTGAAGAAAACAAGTTGCCAGGAACTCTACAACGGCAAGGAACTGAATGCTGCCACCAACCTGGAAGAAGACCTCTGGCCTCAGACGAGAACCCGGGAGAGGACCTCTGGCCTCAGACGAGAACCCGGCAGAGGACCTCTGGCCTCAGACGAGAACCCGGGAGAGGACCTCTGGCGAAGGCCATGATTCAGTCTTGCGAGAGCCTGAGCAGAAACCCACTGAGCCTACCTGGACTTCTATCTCCAGAACTGCGAGATAAATGGGTGTTGCTATAACCTGCTAAATTTGTGATAACTGGTTATGCTACAATAGAAAACTACTATGAGTTCTTTTCTATTCCCTCTGTTTTCTTCAAAATAGAAGTTGTGGTATCTGGGGCTGGCCCCATGGCTGGTTGGTTGGGTTCGTGCACTCCGCTTTGGGGTCCCAGGGTTTGCCGGTTTGGATCCTGAATGTGGACATGGCACTGCTCATCAGGCCACGCTGTGACAGCGTCCCACATGCCACAACTAGAAGGACCCACAACTAAAATATACAACTACGTACTGGGGGGCTTTGGGGAGGAAACAAAAAAAAGAGGAAGATTGGCAATAGATGTTAGCTCAGGGGCAATCTTCTTCACCAAAAAATAAAACTTAAAAAAAAAAGAAGTTGTGGTACTCAAAAAGCCAATACAAGCTTTTTTTAGAATAGAAATTTTCGTGAAGGAGGACAGGGTGAAATCATTTGACCTAAACCAGACAAGGAAAACAGCAGCATGGTCTGTACTTGAGCATTTCATTTAAATAGGAAAGGTCCTATTTTTACTATTCTTCCGGTGCAGCCAGTCCTGTGTAGAGGTGTCACAGGGAGCTCTGGGTACAGCATCTCCTTTATCAATTTAGTAGCAGCCTCACATCCCACAATGCTTAGGTGTTCCAACCAAGCCGCCCTCCTTTCAAATCTCCTTTATTTGGCCAAGATGCAATGGAGTGGCACCACACACATACACCAGTTTACCTAAGTTCTGTGTTCGGCCATTTGAGTGACAGGGGCGAGAGAGAAAATGAGTGCGTGCGCGAGAGCGAGCACACACCATGGATTGATTATTCTGGGTGATCCCACTTTAAGAATCTATTCCTCGGGGGGCTGGCCCCGTGGCCGAGTGGTTAAGTTCGCGCGCTCCGCTGCAGGCGGCCCAGTGTTTCGTTGGTTTGAATCCTGGGCATGGACGTGGCACTGCTCATCAGACCACGCTGAGGCAGCGTCCCACATGCCACAACCAGAAGGACCCACAACGAAGAATATACAACTATGTACCGGGGGGCTTTGGGGAGAAAAAGGAAAATAAAATCTTAAAAAAAAAAAAAAAGAATCTATTCCCTGGAGCAAGTGCGACAGAGAGCATAAATCTGTTTTCTCCAGACAGTTCCTGTATGTCTCTCTCAGTGTGTGCAACTCACTACCCAAGTGTGAGGCCAATGTTTGTTGCTAACATAATTAAAAATAATAAAATCATGGCTCATGAACATATTCCAATGACTTCATCTGGTGTCGAAGAGAGAAAAATCTAGCTGCATTGTGCTGATGTTCTGTTGGACTCAGAATCTGTCAGCCTTC